AATTAAAAAATTTTAAAAATAAAATAAAATATATTAATTAAAAAATAATTAAAATGTTTTTATATATTTATTTTTTAAAAAATTAAAAAGAGAATTTTTATGAAAAAAAAAAAAGAGTTAAAGTTGTAGAATAAATCCTTCGCAATTCCTTGAATTTGAGGAAAACAAAATGGAGGGCGCTCCATCACCCCTCCATCCATTTCCCTCCTCCTTCATTAATGAAATAATCCAAACAATGAAAAAGAACACATCTTTCTCTCATTCTCCTTCCCTTCTCCTCTAAATCCCGCAAGTCAAACAAATGCTTAATTTTCACAAAATCAATCATGTCAGAGTTTATCCATAAAGAACAAGCAATGGCAGCTTCTAAGATGAGTGGTAAGATGAGAAATATGTACAATAATGATAAACCTGTTATCCCCACCAACCCCAGACAAGGCAATAAAAGTTTTAGAAAAGCTGAATTTTGGTAGGACCATGAAACATGGCCCAGGTTCAATCATTTTTCATCTTGTGGGCGTTGTGCGATTTCCTTATTCTTGGATTTTAGTGTTCATAAATGAAAATTGCAGGGGATATTATAGGTGCACCCACCGTTCCTCTCAGGGATGTTTGGCCACTAAGCAGGTTTCAGACATCAGACAATGACCAGACAATCTTTCAGGTCAGATATGTGGGAATAAATGCATGTAAACAATCTTCGCATTCGGCGACTCCGGCCGCCACTGTTGAAGCTGCGTCCAAAGAGAAACCAAAGCAATCAGAGGAGGTGGGGTTGGGAAATGGAACAGGGACTAAAGTTAAGACAGAGGAGTTGGGACTCAAAGGATGAAATGTTTCCGCTGTTTTCTTTGCCTTATGCTTCAGTGGAATCGGAGGAAGGGGGAAACAATATTTACTCGGAATCCATGGTGGAATATAACAAAATGGGAAGGTTTTCCCCTTCGTTTATATCTCCGGCGACCTCTGAATCCAATTATTTTTCAATGTGGCCGTGCCGCAGGGGCAGCTTCGGAATAGGACAGACTTCGAAATATGATCTTACACAGACAGTTTCCGGAGCGGCTTCGGTGACCAATTCACCAATTGAAGACCTGGATTTCTCAGTCGAATTTGACACAAACTTCTCTGTCGACTACTTCTCTTAATAATAAATAGTGAGTCGTAAACACCTCATTTTCGGTTGCCGCCATCCGAATAACTTTAGTTATACAGTTTAAGCATTAGAAATGCATGACACTTTCTTAAAGGGCAAGAAAAAAGAAGAAGCAGAAAACATAATCTTTAGAGAAGATAGCAATGTACACCTGTCTGCTGGACATCAGAGTTTTCCATTAGTTAGGTGGCTGAACTTTGTTTTGGGAAATGGTTTTTGTATAATTTGATGTGTTATTTAAATTATTGGTTCTTTTAATTCATGTGGGATTCATAATATTAAATGTTTTCACTCATTAAATAACATGTGAAAATTGTATAAAAATGTAGTATAAAAAATTATTCTTATAATAGCACATTTTTGTTTTAGGTTTGTCAAGAGAGGCAAAAACTTACTTTTAACCCCTCACATTGTCAAGTTTGATGGTTTTAACTCCTCATTTTATATTATGACATTTTTAATCTCTTACCTTACTAGATTTATAGATTATAACTCATCATCTTATATTATAACACATTTAGTCCCTCATCTATTAAAATTAAAGAAAATAACCCTCACTTTGTAATATTTTATTAGTTCTATTAACTGGCTATTAATTCTATTAACTAATTGTTAGTTGACTGTTAATTGTCAAAAACATTTTTTCAACTAATAGAGTTAACAAAATTAATTTTATATTATTTCATTAATTTTGTTAATTAATTATTAGTTGATAAAAATTTACTTTTAATTAACAGAATTAACATTCATTATAAAATAAGGCTATTTTTTTAATTTTAATATGTGAAGAGCTAAAACTTACGAATCTAATAAGGTGGTGGGTTAAAAATATCATAATATAAACTAAGAGACTAAAACTTTTAAATTTGATAAGATAAGTGACTAAAATAGGTTTTTACCGTTTTAAGATTTTGTGTTAATCTTTCCGCTAGTCTTTTGGAAATTTTGTCTATGATTTGGTGCGAGCATGACAAAAAGGAAAAGACGTGTAAGAACTAGGAAGTGTCCTTATTCTACTTTTGGCAATCACCAAGAAGTTACTTATGAATTATTGATTTAAATGCAAAGGTTTTCAATCATTTTAAAGAATGTTTTGATTTTGGATTTTACAAATGAAAAAAATAAGTATTGAATGAGTTTAATTCAAAACTCAATATATCTTCCAGATGAGGAAGTTAGCACGAAAAAAAGGCAAGACTGGATCGGAAATGAATTTTCCCAAATTTTGGCCTCCTCAGGTTCCAAGTAAATCGTTTTGCCTTAACAATTGCTAGACTTTGTTACTCAATGATTC